CCACCACTGCGCCAGGCTCTTTCGAAGTGGAATAGAGTGTCACGATTGAAATCCTAATCGTTAGAAGCTCAAAATGCTATGCATGATAAACCAGCGGTGGTTATGCAGAAGTCGGAACAGCTGCGAACTCAAAAAATGGAACTGCTTTAATATCGTGTCATGGAAGCCATCTTCTTTATAAGCCCGGATAAAAACATTAGCAGCGAGTGGTTTCGATCCACCGACCTCTGGGTTATGGGCCCACCACGCTTCCACTGCGCCAGGCTATTTCGAAGTGGAATAGAGTGTCACGATTGAAATCCTAATCGTTACAAGATCAAAATGCTATGCATGATAAACCAGCGGTGGTTATGCAGAAGTCGGAACGCTGCGAACTCAAAAAACGGAACTGCTTTAATATCGTGTCAAGGAAACCATCTTCTTTATAAGCCGTGATAAAAATATTAGCAGCGAGTGGTTTCGATCCACCGACCTCTGGGTTATGGGCCCAGCACGCTTCCACTGCGCCAGGCTCTTTCGAAGTGGAATGGAGTGTCACGATTGAAATCCTAACCGTTAGAAGCTCAAAATGCTATCCATGAGATACCAGCCGTGGTTATGCAGAAATCGGTATGGCTGCGAACTCAAAAAATGGAACTGCTTTAATATCGTGTCAAGGAAACCATCTTCCTTATAAGCCGTGATAAAAATATTAGCAGCGAATGGTTTCGATGCACCGATCTCTGGGTTATGGGCCCACCACTGCGCCACGCTCCTTCGAAGTGGAATAGAATGTAACGATTGAAATCCTAATCGTTACAAGATCAAAATGCTATGCATGAGAAACAAGCGGTGGTTATGCGGAAGTCGGTATAGCTGCGAACTCAAAAAACGGAACTGCTTTAATATCGTGTATATTAAAGCAGTTGCATTTTCTGACTTCGCGGCCATACCGATTTCTGCATAACCACCGCTGGTTTCTCATGGATAGCGNAACTGCTTTAATATAGTGTCAAGGAAACCATCTTCTTTATAAGCCCGGATAAAAACATTAGCAGCGAGTGGTTTCGATCCACCGACCTCTGGGTTATGGGCCCAGCACGCTTCCACTGCGCCACGCTGCTTCAAAGTGAGAATAGAATGTCACGATTGAAATCCTAATCGTTACAAGATCAAAATGCTATCCATGAGAAACCAGCGGTGGTTATGCAGAAGTCGGTATGGCTGCGAACTCAAAAAACGGAACTGCTTTAATATCGTGTCAAGGAAACCATCTTCTTTATAAGCCCGGATAAAAACATTAGCAGCGAGTGGTTTCGATCCACCGACCTCTGGGTTATGGGCCCAGCACGCTTCCACTGCGCCACGC